CCAGCGTGAGCGGTTGTAGGTAGGGTGGATTGTGCTCCCTCTTTGTCACCCTGAAAAAAGTGTTGATGCAGTGAACAGGGTCTCATGTTTGGAGCCACTCCGCCAATGATGTAGTGGATGTCATCAAGGTAGTGTACTTGCCACGCAAGGTCACATTTCAAGTTGCTCAGGCCCTGTGTGGCGGTACTGGCTATGTTCCCGTCTTTCGCCCAGGCCCCTGGAACATCAAGAAGGGCATCCAATTATTGCTCTGCCGCCTAGGTGGCTTTCAGGTGCGATGGTACTCTCTTCAACCTAGAAATCCTCCAAGTTCAGCGTCGGCAAAGGACAAGTGGAACCCGACCAACCATGAGCTGGAGGAGGGCATCAACTTCATCAACGCTTGGGCTCCGGAGTGTGATGCGCGCAATGAACAAACCCTCTGGATACTCATCAACATCAAGGCTGATTCTACCACCCCAATTGCTGGATGGCCTGAGGCAAAGGTCAACCTGGAGATCCAAAGTGGTAAAAAAAAGTGAAACTCGCCACTGTGACACATTTTAAGTCAAAACACGCCACTAGCAAAAAGTGAATTTTCAAACGAAAGCGCAAGTCAGCCACCACATCTTTGGAACTCTGCGTGAACCGCGGAGTCACGGGGAGAGAGGAGTGATTTTGGTTGAAGACGTGCTCCCACAATGCCAAAATGCGACGAAAACGTTGCGAAAAAAGAACCATACAAAACGTACGTTTATTTTCGCAACTTTTCGGAAATTTTCGCAACGTTTCGGGAAAGTTGCATGTTTTAAGCCGCGTCCAGCATTGACAAAAGCAGGCGCGAAAACATCAGAAAAGTCCTAGCACAAGTGCGTGTGAGAAGACTTGGCTCAGGCGTTGGATGTTTTTCTTCGCGCCACTGCAAAGCATCAACATGCCCTAAGAGAACAAGTGCCAAACACCAACCATGAGCAAAAAGTACCACTGTGACACTTTTTCGGAAAATACGCCACGCGCCACTGTGATAGAAAAAAGTGCCACTTTGGATCTCCAGGAAACAGATGGCCCAAAACAAAAGTCGAGGAGTTGCTGGAGCGCTTAGCATGCGTGAGTTTCCGTTGACAACCATGAGCCTGAAGCCATTCATGCGAGAGTTTCTGCTGCTCCACTTGTACCCGCTCCTGCGCCACTTTGGCATTCTTCTGCTGGGCTCACCCGGCGTTGGCAAGACCCCTTTTGTCATTGTGCTGGCGATGGCACTTGGCAGGTATCACCTTCGTCGCAATGGCTGTGAAGGCCTCCAGCCAGGATGGCGTCGTGCCAAATCTCTTGACAACTTCAGACATCGGGCTCCCATGGTGCACGAAGCTTTGTTCCTCGACGACCCGTGTCGATCCAAAGTCAACATTGCAGACTTGAAGAGTTTCATGAATACAGATGAGGATGGCACTGTGGATGCCCGTTACAATGATTCCCGTATGGTGCGCAATCAGCTGCGAGCATTTGCCTCGAATGACCTGCCGGACCAGGCGACACTTCGATTTCAGAACAGAAGTTCTTCCACCTTTTGCCCGACATCTTCCAAGGAGACAAAGAAAAAAGATGTACTGGGTGTCCTGAATCATTGATCGTGCTTGGCGCTATCTGAAGGGCAGGATCAAACTGAACCAAAAGTGTACAGTGGGGTCATCACTTTTGCGGGCGAAGATCCGCAGTGCCCAGTATGAGTACTGGCATCGCAACGCCGGTATGTGGCTTGCCTCTGGCGTAATCTGTGGCTGGCATAATGCCAAAAATCACAGAGTGAACTTGCACAGGGAGTCGCAATGGATACAAAAATTGCCGCGCCTCTTGTCTGCTTCGTTAACCTTCACATTGTGTAAAACCTCGTGCGTCTTGTGCAAACATCCTTCCTTCATCTGTGAAACAAACTTTTGCTTTCATTACACATGCCAATGCCTATCATAATGTCATGCCTCTGACTGTCTGGTAAAGGCAACACATCTGGCAACCAGGCATCTCACCCAAACACCTGACTAAACGTAGGGTTTTTTTGGGGGGGTAGCAAAAATATATATATATATATGCATGCAACTGCCCTCCTACTCTTTGATGCTAAGTGAGAGGCAACGTGAATTTGAGTTCTGAGGCCCCATTTGTAGGCTGCCCAATTTCCTGATACCTACTGTTGCCTTCAAAGGCAGCCGGATTACTTAAATCTCAACGCGCCTTTTTCATCAGCATGGAACTGTGTAAACTGCGACATGTTGCAAGGAAGCGATCCCTGTTAATGAAGCAGAGTCAGGGCCAGTGAAAGCTGCCAAGAAGTGATTCGCCAGTGGAAGATTTAGGAGGAATGGGATGAACACGATGAATTGCCCTTTATCACCAGCAGACAGTTGATCGCCCTATATATTTATATATTACCAGGACACTTGTTTTTTGCTGAGAATGCCCATACCTTCAGTCATGCAATGGCAAGTCCCATATTTTGATTTTGACACCTAGGCCAGAGATGGGAGGAGGTTTTTCTGCTTTGAGGTACCTCTTCTGTCGCAGACAGACAAAGGGCTTAGCAGACGGCTTGGCCAGCTGACGTGCGTGGCATTTTTCGAGCCAATTGCCTTGGCCAGAATGCTTCACAATCTGTCAGCACAGGTTCTAAACTCACAGGGTTGGGTCTTCCCCCCCTGTGAGAGGAAGCCTCCAAATGCATGAGATGTGCATAGGCTGCTGCAGTCTTTCGCTTGTGCTTCTGAACATTCTTTGAAGCTCAACCTGTGCGTGCCATGTGCCACTCCTCGTCTCGGTGCCACTGAATTGCTGCATAGCAGCATTGCTTGACCGAAGAAAAGACATGCTTCGGCATCGAGGTTTCGACTGGTGCAGAGTGCCAACGGTGTCGACCGCTTTGGATCAGAGCGAGGTTATTGGCCTCCAGACGCAAGTGCAGCCCGGGGAGGCCCAGCACTTGCGATACCAGAAGCACGTCCCAAGGGCTTCGTATTTGCATGGCTACACTTTGTAATCACTTTAATATACTGACCATATTGTACTGGGTCGTACCGATCATTGAACTCACTGACACGATGCTCTCAGTAGCTATCTAGGCTATTCTCTGCACTCTCTCATTTGTTGCTCCATGGAAGGTTCTTTGCGCTTCTCTTTTTTCCGGAAATCCTTTATGTATATCATAGAAACTGGTGTCTAGCATATTCTAGCATTCTGTGGTCAATACGGTGTCACCGCTGGGAAGGGATAAGGCTGAAAGACCATCCAAGACCGACCTTGCAGACCGGAATGACCAACGAATCTTGTAGACTGGTGCGACTGTCCAGCTATCCTCAAGCCACAGAGTGGACAATCCCTGTAGCCGCGTAGCCATGCAAAAATGTGAGGCGCAAACGGTTGAATATGGTTGATATCACTGTCAGTTAGTGGTCATTTTCCCACTCTACCCATTTCATCCCATTTTGCTCATTGATTCATTTTAACACAGATGCTTCACCTTTTTGTCAACTGAATTTGATTCTGTATCTTAATCAGGCGGTGTATCCACTGGACTAAACCCGACCGAATGCGCCTCCAAAACTACAGGGCCAGGAAACCAAGCGAAGACGAATGCAGGGGCCCTTCGCCGGGAAACCTGTAGAAACACTCAGCGGACGAGATCGGATTGAGGAAATAGAACGCCACAGTATACATATTTAATCATATTTATGTAATATTACCAAACATACTTAGTTTAATCATAGATATACACTTATTGTATACATACTATATGTGCATGTTTTTTTTTGTTTTCCAGCAACGGTCGTCTTTGCTCCATACATCCGGAGATGCAGCGTGTCCTAATGTTTGAGTTCTAGAGACCAGATGCTGAACTCCAGAAAGAGTGGTCATGTTGCCTTTCTTCAAGCGAACAAGCTCGCCAAGGCTGAAGCCGCGCTGCAGAAAGGCGCGGAGTCGGATAGTTAGAAGGGGAACTTTGCACCAGTGAAATTGAACGTAGCAGGGATTCGAGATTGTTTTTTGGCTTTTATATAATGTGTTTGTTCATTTTTGTTCTCCAACCATCTGTCCGAGCCGAACACAAGAAGCTGGCTTGTCTTTTTTGTTCAGGACTAATCGGTCGTTAACGCTAAATCTTCGTCGAGTCGGAACTGTTTGTACGAGCCACGTTTGCTGCTAGGCCGCACGCATGAAGAGATCTTTGAGCGAATCCTCGCGCTTTTGAAAGAGGCTCACGCCGCCACCGAGCGAGTGGGACCGAGCTCGGTTTCAGCGGTTGCGAGTGAGACCGAGCGGCTCAAAAGAGGCTCAAGCCAGACACAGAGGACAATGATCAATGGCCGGGCATGGGCGAGAAGGGCTTCGCACTAACTTGTACCTGCAGCTCGAGTTCGATTGAAACTATTTCTCTTACTGGCATCACTTTCAATTGTTCTTGATCACAACAATGCTGAAAGATCGCTGTTGTCTATTGAATGAGTCCACTGCTGAAAAAAGCTACTTGCGAGGCACCGGAGCCAGAGGACCAGGACCATCATGGTGATTCACAGATCGGTATTGGTGGCAAGTAATGGACATCGACGAAACATATGAAGGTCCCTTAAGAAGGAACAGACAAAATTATTGGCGTTCACACTTAGGGGCGGGTTTGCGGTCGCCTGGCTGTTCACTTTTTGTGAGAACACTCCCAAAAGGACTTCAACACCCTTTTGGCTAGCATGAGGCTATGAGAAAGATGTTTTTTGTCATGAGTGGCCATACCTCGGCGTTCTCACATTGCGAAATGCTGCCAGAGCCAAGAGGATAGTGACGATATTGGCGATGTATGGCTGGAAACCGCCAGGTGACATGTTTGAAAGAGTTTTGTGACATGTGTGTGACATGTGTTTGAATCGTCGAAGGTTTACCAACCATAACTACAAACCTAAGCGCAGCTGTCATGTTGATTGCGAAGCTTGAATGGGGACACTTGTCAATCTCTACAGTGGAGTTCCGTATGAATGGAATTGCCAGAAGTCAGAGAAGGTAGAACGTGGAGGAAGCTTGTTCATTCACAGATGGAACTTACTGACACGGAAGATATATATATATATTGTGTATATAACTTAACAATATTACAGTATACTATATTCAAGTTTCCTTTGTAGAGACTCTTGGTCATGATTGCTAAAGAGAGTCCAGCAGGCTGCAGCTGAACTTCAAAGGGAAGAGGTATCAACATGATCCAAATAATTTCAGCATCCAATCTAAGCAATGTTTGCCTGGAGCTGGATTTTGGATGCGTTGCACACGACATTGCAGGTCGTTCAGCCAATACCGGAAGGACTACAAACGGCTTTTTCAGGATGCATGGCTCAAGCTGTTTGGATGCCAAGATCACATCGTGGAGAGTCATTTGCAATGGACCTGAAGAAGTTCAAATCCGAGTTGTTCTCAATGTCAACGAGTTCCAAGTTGTGTGCAAAAATGGTTCTAAGTTGCCGAGTGCCTCCAGCTTGGACCGCTTTTCTGGTTTCTGAGACGAACCCGGCCGGCTTAAATACCAATCGTTAGTTCCTCAACAGGTTGGGGCTGCGCGTACCTTTGCAACATTGCTCTGGATTGCCAAGCTCTAAGAAGGATGGCAAATGATGCGAACTTCACTTGTGAGATCAGTGAGATGAGGTTTGTAGACCCAATTCGTCGCATGTGAGCAGATATTCATGGCAATATTTTGCAATAGGTTCGCTGACAGCTCCATTCACGCTTTTGAAACTCCATCACATTGAGTTTTCTTAGAAGCTTTTGCTTGACAGAAACTTCGACTGTGCCAACCCAGGCTGCAGCTGCTTCCCACGAAGGTGATCCCCCACATGGGCCTTGAACTTGGTGCCATGAAGCGAATTCACGCATCACCAAGGGTTCGTTTGGTGCGAAAACAAGCAGTTCTGCCAGTTTCGCAAGCACGCATTGGCTACACGTACTGGTCGGCATTGAACCCCAGAGATTTAGTGACGTTTGTGCCCGACCATTCAGGTCGTCCGCTGATGGTCGCAGATTTCTATCTCCGAGCCTTTCACGCAGGCTGAATGGAGTCGCCACGAACTGCATCCGCTGTTCATTTGCGTTTGTATAGTTTTGTCAGTTCTCCTTTTGCATCTGCCACAAGCCAAAGTTCCTTGATCGCAAAACATGGGTTTACTGTAATCATTTGGGGCATCAATGTCACACCACCTTTTAGTGCTCAGATATGTTTGGTGATTAACGACCGCATGCGTGAAATGTGTGGCCAGAGGGGCAGGGCCAGTGGTGAGGCTCTTTGGAACTTTCAGTCCTTGCTCTTAGTGGCCTTCTTCTACTGCTTTGGGCTCAACTGGGAGCTTCTGTGTAGGCAAAGCTGAAGTAGGTATGTGGGCAACTGTTCCGTTCTGTTTTGTGTAAACTCAAGATGACCAGTGTCATCAACTTCCATCCTGCTTTTCGATTTGCTATTCTTCTCTGCAAATTTTCTGTGTGGCAACTACCCTTTCAAGGCTCACACGCTACGGTTTGGGGGATCCAGAGACTTTGTCTTCGTCCTGCGGAGAGCGTGGGACCCAAGATGAAGAGATCAAGGGATAGAGCCTGGAAGCATTTTCACGAAGCAAGAGCAAGACTATCATTCAATCAAGATCAATCAAGTACCATGTTTTTATGTTCAAAACTCTTGTATTTGTCAATAGGGGCTGATTTGGGTCTGAAGGGGTGGGTACTGCAATTACCTGCACGCATTTGTTAAATACAACTATGCATGTACTATACAGTAGAAAGCAAGGTAGCCAAGCAAGTAATGGTAAGCAGTTAGGCTGTAAGAGATCGTGACCACTACATGAGCTGCATCCGGACACAAGAGAACTAGAATTCGTTTTGTAGGTTCCTCGATTTTCAGGGACACTTTGTCGAAGACATGTGATGATAGAAAAGAGGAAGATACGCCAACCACACCAGTCAATTGGATTCAATTTTGGAAGGTAGGCCAACCACAACACTGCCGCATGAAGCTTGAGGTTCTACACGCAGCTCTACAGCCTCTTGCAACCAGCAACTTTCCGTTTGAAGCGCAGGGGACCTACACACCCTACATCTCGTTCCAAATCACATTTGCAAATTAATTCGTGAATTTGTAGGCATCATAGGCGAATGAGGTGCTATTTCTTGCCTTTGGAGCACTGATAGACAGTAATTACTGAGGTACGGACAGAATTTACGGACGACTATACAAGGAAAGCGATGGATGTGGGATCTCAAAACACAGTCTATAAAGATAACAGACTTGAAACAAAAAACACTATATAACATATACAACTGAACAACAAAAAACAATAGCACACTCACAGTAATCCTGATGTCCTTTGACCTAGAAATATAGCTTAGACCATGGCTCACGTATCTCTCCTTCAAAGACAGTATAGCCCGCTGTGTTTTTCAGAGACCAGCTCTGCCTTGGCTTGATGAGGCCGTGCGCGGTTCCAGAGATTAGCCGTGCAAGAGCCCAGCCAGCTTCTTTAAGAAGCTAGTAGAAACAAGTGCCACGCTAGTAGTAACAGGTGCCTTACTAGTAGTAACAAGAAGCTAGTAGAAACATGTTTAAGACATTTTCCTTGTCTGGAAATGGCACCCACCTACCCGTTCCCAAGTCCCCAAAGCCAGCTAAATGTCAGGAAACAAGCTGACGTGTTTGTCAGGTAAGGCTGGGAGGAAGGTGAGCCTACTTCACCAGATCTTTGGGAGAGCAACTGACCCATGAATACCACGGGCCGCCACGTTTGTTGTGGACAGCTCCAATGGATTTACGTATCTTGTTCATTAGGCCGCGGCTCTCACAAGCGCATTGCTGTCAGAGCCCAAGACATGTTTGATACATGCACATGTATCAAAATGCCGGGGTCAAGACAGTTAAGATAGTCATGTTTCACCTCAGATTTTGTCACTTTCAAACTGGAACCATCCACTGTTGCAGAGCTTAGAGCCAAGGCCAGGACGCTTCGCTGCTGCCTTTGCAAAGAAATGCTCCTAGGCGAACAAGGGTGGCGGTGCTAGGAAATCTGTGGATTTGACCCATTGATTCCGATGATATGCGCCACATGCCCAGTACGTTTAGTATTGAGCCTGCAATGCCTTCGATTTTTTCTAGCCGACCCAAATTGCTATTTGCTGTCATTTACTACACTGATTGTTTGACTACCTGAGGTGCGCATGAAAAAAGACGGTGAATTGTTTTTTGGAATGGATGTGTAGCTGCGGCCCAAACTTCTTTCTGTTGCATGTGTATGTGGCATGCTTTTGGCTCTTTTTGATTGTGGTGTTTGGTTCGGAGACTGCCACTTCCAACTTCCAACCCTCAATGTGTCCTCTGAGGTCTGCGCGTTGCTGTCCTTTGCAGTGAGCAAGTAGCCCTAGCTGCACTTCGGAAAGTAACTACAGATTTGTCCGCCCAGCTGGAGGAAGGTAAAAAGAACTTACAGCCAGTGGGTCTTCTTCGATTCTTTGGTGTTGCAGGAATTCGGAAAGCACTGGTCACAGGTCTATGAAATTGATCACTGCCCTAGGCCTGGTACCATTATGTGGCTCCTGGCAGTTGCTTACGGCCTCATTCAGAGGAGCGAGGGAATCGGCACATCAAGGGCTGGATTCTCCTTGTGTCATCCAAGGTTCTCAGGCTTTACTTGCATGAGTTCCCTCACAAGTTTGATGAGAGCAATTCTTAGCAACACTGAAATGCAGTAGGAACCATAGCCGATGCAGCTTCTTGCTTCACCAAACGGAAGAAGGCTCGGGCTGCAGCCTGCTGTGTTGTCCCCGGATGACAGGTGTCTTTCTTCACAGGTCTTTGCTCAGAGCTCATATGATTAAACGCATGGTGCATAGGTGATTTTGCTTTCCGGCAAGAGATCCTGAAGGTTCATCCCGAGCTGCGGCAACTTACCGGTTGTTGTCACTTTGCGATT